AGTGCTCTTACCTCTGGTAGAATACCATACCACATTTGCTTTCTTATTTAACCAAAGTGTGTTTTATTAAACGGCCAGATCACTGCAGGGTCGGGTGGCTTTCTCTTCTCCGGTGCCCGCTGTGTCCTCTTTCGTTTTGGTCCCGATCATTTGAATCTGTTTCTTGCGTTCGAGAAAGCTGCAAATTGATCTGGGATCTGAGGAGGACTATACAGTATGCAATTTCAGGTGCATGACCGCGCAATTTTGGGAATGGAAATTGTACCTAAAATCGGATCTAATCAATGTGAATGTGAGTGTCTTAACATATGCGATTTGCTGCAGCGTGATTTCAAAAGTAGTTCTTGTAGTACTTTTTCTGCCATTTGTTGCGATTTCACATATAGACTACTATAGAAATCGCACTGCAAAATGCAATGGAAAAAGCAAGAAATCGTTGGGAAATTCTTCAGAAAACACAGTGAAATCGCATACAAAATGCATGATTTTAAATCACATCCAGTGTGAGCCAAGCCTTAGTGTAGAACCTTGCTAAGAAGGATTGTGTCTAATGCATGTTTTGATTTGTGTTTTTTTTTTTTTTTTCTCTGCAACATTGCCCAGAGCATTTTAACTTATAATAGTGGTCGTTGGGGCTATTGAGTTTGATTTTTGTATATTGATGAACAGGGGCGGACTGACAACTCATGGGGCCCCCGGGCAATAGGGGATCATAGGGTCCCTGTGTCCTTGCCCAAACTCAAAAAAGCCTATGAAAAAGGTACCAGGGGCATCTCATGGGGCCCGTTACTGACCCCGGGCCCTCAAGCAGTGCCCGAGTTTCCAAATGGTCAGTCCGCCCCTGTTGATGAATGTTATAAAGTTAATCAAGTTATGTAAAAACTTTTGCTATATTGCCATAACCATTTGTATTGTCACCATCTGTATCCCTGACACACTCTGGGGGGAATTTCCTAGAACTGGTGCACCTAGAATCTGCATCTGTGCATGGGAGCCAATCAGCTTCTAACTTCAGCTTGTTCAAATAAGCTTTGGTAATAAAACCTGGAAGCTGATTGGTTTCTATGCAGAGCTGCACCAGACTTTGTACTCTTCAGTTTTAGTAAATCAACCCCAAATGTCTCCCAGGGTGATAGCACTGCTCCTCTACAGGTACAATACAGTGAGTAAGTGTGGTTATCTTAGGACAGGGAATTTGTTACCACCAGGATCACCAAATGAATATAAAAGAAAAAAAAATAGAAGAAAAGGTAGCTACCACATTTAAAAGAGAACTGTAGCCAAAGCCTTTTTGGCCATATTCCTCTTGTGGGCCACATGAATGCACTTACTTTCGCACTGAGAGCAGGCTATAGTCATTGTTAGCTGACGTCACAGAGCATATTGTCAGGATTCACCCAGCTGCCTGATTGACAGCTTGCTCTGCCTCTCAGTGTGCGGCTGATAGCTGAAGCCAGTTATGTCTGCCCCTCTCCAGCTCAACACTCCAGTGAGGGGCAGTGTGGAGAGCGGTAACTGACAGCCATTGCTCTCTGTTCTGAGAAGACAGAGAACTGAGCGTTAACGTGCCAACATGGCAAAGCTGCAGCATCACACCAATGCTGCAGCATAGAGATGAGTATGTGTGTGTTTTATTTTTTTTTAACCCTAAACTTCTTTAATCACTTGCCCTCCAGAGAATTTACCCCTCTTCCTGATCAGACCATTTTTTGTGTTATTTTAACTGACAATTGTGCAGTCATGCAACACTGCACCCAAATGACATGTACGTCCTTTTTTCCCCACAAATTGAGCTTTCTTTTGGTGGTGTTTGATCGCCTGTGCGGTTTAATTTTTTTTTGCGCTAAAAAAAAGTCCAGCAATTTTGAGAAATAAACAATATTTTTGACTTTTTGCTATTAAACATGTCCAGTAAAAAACTTTTAAAAATCTAATTTTGACATAAATTCAGGCCAAAATGTATTCTGTGACGTCTTTGCTAAAAGAAAATCCCAATACATGTAAATTAATTGGTTTACGTGAAAGTTATAATGTTTACAAATGGCGGTATATACTGTATACTGGGATTTTTTAAATTTTTTTTATTTTTACTAGTAATGGCGGTGATCAGCAACTTTTAGCAGGACTGTGGGAGTGCGGCAGACATTCTGACACTGGGGGAAATTGAGTTGGTGTCACTGACATCCCCAGTGACAGCAATACAGTGATCAGTGCTAAAAAAAGCACTGACTCTGTTTTAATGGCACTGGGCAGAAAGGGGTTACCATGAGGGGCAATCAAAGGGTTAACTGTGTGCTGGGAGTGTTTTACTGGGGGGGCAGTGCCTGTGTGCTTCACTGTAATCACACCGCTTTGGATGGCTGTGCTATGCACAGCCATCCAAAGCAGTGTGCTCGAGCTGACAGGGAGGAGAACTTTTAGTAAACAAAACAGTTCTCCTCGTCTGAGATCCTCGGAAATCACCGTGCTCCAGTTCACGCACACCCCCTACCCGGAAATGCAAAATCACGCATATATACGAGATTTTGTGTAACCGTGCCGCCCTGTAGCAGTATTTATTCTATAGGGCGGTCGGAAAGCAGTTAAAGGCTGGCAAACTGCAATGTATTACATTTTTGTTGTTGGGTTTAGATACACTTTAAGGCCTCTTTCACATGGAGTTGATTCTGTTCCGATCAATAGGGAATCAGTTCACAGTCTGGGGGGGAGGGGAGTGTTAGATGTACTTGCAGATTTAAATACACTAACAAATTGAAGCCAAATTCTAGGTCACATTAAAGTTATAGCAACCATTTTTTTTTCTGTTGGGATAAAGGTTTTACATGAAAAAATAAAAGGTGGTCATTGTAAGCACCCCTGCCAGTGTTAAATGGGTTGTCTCATCCATGTGAACTGATACATTTTTCTGGAGAGCTTGTGCTTTTGAAAAACAAAAAACTAGCTGGCTGGATCACCAGATGACAAAAGAAGAAAGAAAGCATAAAAAAGAAAATGAATGTACCATCACATATAAGAACTGGTAAGCTGCAATATAATACATCTTTACTTTGGGGTTTATTACTGCTGTAAACAGTTACTGCAACATTTTTTTTTTCTTTTGGGACAAAGGTTTTACATTAATAAATAAAAGCTGAACATTATAAGCATCCCTGTCAGTGTTAAATGGTGAAAATGAAAGAAAGAATGGAGAACTAATGCAGCCACCTTATCTAAGAGTAGGTAAGCTGCAATATAATAAATGTTTGTTTTTGGGTTTAATACCTCTTTAAGGTTGACCCCACCAAAGCTTTTTTAGATACAGTGTACAAAGGTTACATCCCCAGACAGGTTTTATTGCTGTTTGTGTCTCCACTGAACATATTTCTCCTCACTTTCTGTCCCAGTGAGGCTACTGAAAACTAAAAGAGAAGCTTTGATGTCCTACTGTCTCATGATCTCAGGCTATTTACTTTGGTTTCAGTTGAACTTTAGGTTTCACAAAAAGTTTTATTGGTTTAATCAAATACAAGCACAAAGTACAATAAAGAAGGGTAACATAAAAGAATATGAGTCAATGGAAGATATAATAAGATATCAAACAAATATAAATCAATAACATCTATGTAGTGCTGGCATTGTATAAAGTTGCAATCGTGATAAATGAAAGTTCAAAAGATGAAAGATAAAGGCCAACATTTCTTCTTTCTTATTTCAACAAATAAGAGAAGATTAATGGAGATACCATGAAAAAGAAAGTACAGTAATCAACAAAGAGGGAGAGGGAAGAAGAAGGGAAAAAGGAAGAGAGGGGGTGGGCATCAATGGTGTGTAGGCTCCATGAGTGTTATAGAGAGAGCAAGGAGTGGCAAAAATTGATACAAGCAGTGCAGTTGAGCTTTAGGGCCAATTAAATTGTTTATTAAAACATTTATATTTTCTTATATCAAGTCATAGGCTCCTTTCAGGTGGAGCGAACCAATCAGCAAATCCACTTGCTCAGCAGGAGATCTCTCCGCTGATCCCACTGAGCAAGTGGATGACAAGTCTGTGTCCGCTCTGCTGCTACACAGGAGACACATACACAGCCTGCTGTTTCCTATGGGGTGGTCAGATGGAAACGGATCGCCTGTCCGTTTCCACCCGACTGTCATCCAATCAGATATGCCAGACGGATGGGAAAAGGATCCTCATCCATCTGTTTTTTAGCGTAGAGAATCGGATTGGATGTTGGCGGGTGTCTGCGGACACCGGTCCACTGAGACCCGATGGTCCATAGAGGGCTATGGATGGTCTGATCGGACAGTCAGTGTAAAAGAGGCTATAATCTCAGGAGGATTTTTGAATAGCAGTGATAAAACTTTTCAAGTATCAGCTACTTTCCATATTGCTGAAATAAGGCATTTTTAACCACTTCAATACTGGACACTTACCCCCTTCCTACCCAGGCCAATTTTCTGCTTTCAGTGCTGTTACACTTTGAATGACAGTATCATGCAACACTGTACCCAAATAAAAATGTCATCATTTTGTTCACATAAATAGAGCTTTCTTTTGGCAGTATTTGGTGACCCCTAGGTTTTTATTTCTTTCCAAAGAAATAGAAAAAAGGACATCATTTTTGAAAAACAAAAATGCTTTTGAATGACAGTGTCATGCAACACTGTACCCAAATGAAAATGTAATCTTTTTGTTCACACAAATAGAGATTTCTTTTGGCAGCATTTGCTGACCCCTAGATTTTTATTTCTTTCTAAAGAAATAAAAAAGGACAAAAATTTTGAAAAAAAATGCTTTTTTTTCTTCGTTTCTATTATAGGGCTTTCAAGGTACCATACCGACAACAATCAAATATTTCTTGCAAAAAATATCTTTATTAAATTATAGTACAGAATCTGAGCATAAAAATGCTCCCTAAAACCATATACCATTAAACAGTATATCGATAAGAAAATTATGCTTGAAATAAATAGCTCCAATGCATTTCACGGGGCAAAGCCCACTTCCTTAGGAAGATCTGCCATATACACTATATTGCCAAAAGTTTTGGGACACCCCTCCAAATAATTGGATTCAGGTGTTCCAATCACCTCCATGGCCACAGGTGTAAAAAAAATCAAGCACATAGGCATTCAAACTGCTTCTACAAACATTTGTGAAAGAATGGGTTGCTCTCAGGAGCAAAGTGAATTCAACTGTGGTACCCTGATAGGTTGCCACCTGTGCAAGTCCATCCTCAAAATTTCCTTGCTACTAAATATTTCATGGTCAACTGTTAGTGCTATTGTGATAAAGTGGAAGCAACTTGGAACAACAGCAACTCAGCCACAAAGTAGTAGGCCATGTAAAATGACAGAGCGGGGTCAGCGCATGCTGAAGTGCACAGTGTGCAGAAGTCACCAACTGTCTGCAGAGTCAATAACAAAAGACCTCAAAATTTCATCTGGCCTTCAGATTAGCACAACAACAGTGCATATAGAGCTTCATGGAATTGGTTTCCATGACTGAGCAACTGCATCCAAGCCTTACATCACGAAGTGCAATGCAAAGGGTCGGATGCAGTGGTGAAAAGCATGCCACCACTGATCTCTAGAGCAGTGGAGATGTATTCTCCGGAGTGATGAATCACACTTCTCTGTCTGGCAAAATGATGGACGTGTCTTGGTTTGGCATTTGGCAGGAAAACGGTACTTGCCTGACTGCATTGTGCCAAGTGTAAAGATGGTGGAGGGGGGATTATGGTGTGGGGTTGTTTTTCAGGGGTTGGGCTTGGCCTCTTAGTTCCAGTGAAGGGAACTCTGAAGGTGCCAGCATACCAAGACATTTTGGACAATTTTATGCTCCCAACTTTGTGGGAACAGTTTTTGGATGGACCTTTTCTGTTCCAAGATGACTGTGCACCAGTGCACAAAGCAAGGTCCATAAAGACATGGATGAGTGAGTTTGGGGTAGAGGAACTTGACTGATCTGCACAGAATCCTGACCTCAACCCAATAGAACACCTTTGGGATGAATTAGAGCGGATCCTGTGGGTCAGGCCTTGTTGTCCGACATCAGTGCCTGACCTTACAAATGCGCTTCTGGAAGAATGGTCAAACATTCCCATAGACACACTCCTAAACCTTGTAGACAGCCTTCCCAAAAGAGTTGAAGTTATTATAGCTGCAATGGGTGGGCCAACTCAATATTGAACTATACGGACTAAGACTGGGATGCCATTAAAGTTCATGTGCGTGTAAAGGCAAGCGCCCCAATACTTTTGGCAATATAGTGTATATCTGTTTATTCAAAGTTCACAGTGCATGGAAAATCACAGCAATAGAAAACCGCAATCACCAACATGGAAGGGGGACTAGTTCATTCAATAAATTTAAAAATGTGTGATGTGTAGATAAAGTAAATACTAGTCCATCACATGTGGTCCTCAATTGCCATAGCTCAGTTCTTTATTGGTTTACAAAAAGACCAGTGTGGCTGGTACTGGTAGCTCTGCAGCTTGTCTTCCTGGCATATTGCTTGTACCAGCCACACTGGTGGTGGTATACTTTATTAGAAATATTTTTGTTCAGAAGATATACTGCAAAGAAATGTATTTTTTCCTCCAAATGCAACTGTACTAATGACTAAAACCGAGGACATTAATTAAATTATGCCCATATATCTTGTATCTTCTTCCCAGCTACTGAGAGCACTGAAATCCAAGGCAATCTATTAAGCAAATACCAAGTTAATTTTCTGAGGTCAGTGCTCAGCAAGCCCTCTGTTGTCTCTTCTGCCTTGCTAGCCGGACAGTGAGACCATCCATCTTCTCAATGACTAAAGGCAGCCTTGACTTCAGGGAAGAAATTAATGTTTATTTCTTGGGTCCGTTTAGTTTTTTTTTAGGAATCCACTTTAAATTGTAGGTACAGCCAAAAATAGCCACTTTTTTTCCTAATTTTGGACAGAGTAGGAAGAGGTTAGAATCACTGTCATTTTGCTTTTTGCTGTCTTGGTTCTGTTGGGGACATTTTTCTTCAAGATCTCTCTCAAATCCATAACAGGAAATGAGAAAACATCCCCTCAAAGTGAGGGTAATTCTCCTCTTAGACAGCTGTCACACAAACAGGTGTACCTATTGGTAGATTTCCCCCTTGAACTCCTGCTGTGACAAATCTAAAATGTTGGATTTTCATCACTTTTTAACTCAGTGATAGGGATGAGCTAATGTTTGCCATGAGAAGCTGTCATATGATAGCAGGCTGCCGACTTGATCAGCTGCAGCCACGGTATTCCCCACCCTGCAGCTGCACATGGCAAATGGGTAAAATGCTGCTGATGTCATTGTCCTAATATTGCCACATGGCCTTAATTGGTCAATAATATTGTCAAAGATTGGTCATATGATAAGTGCGTAAAATGTTCAGGCAACTTTGGCAGATTGCTGGAATGGCAGTCTCAGTTATTTTTGGCAACAAATGTATCTGTGACATTAATCTTGGAGAATCTAAGCATCATTTTATGGGTCTGCCAAGGGCATAGATGTAAAATCAACAAGTCAACAGTTTATGTCTGCTGTTCTACACCCAAGCTTTAAACAGAAATGCTCCAATCAAACAAGTGCTCTCCTGTTATTATTATTATTATACAGTATTTATAAAGCGCCGATAGTTCACTCAGCGCTGTACATTACAAAGGGGGACAGAACATGTGACAGAACAATACCAATACAATGCAAAACATGAGGGGATCGAGGGCCCTGCTCGTTCGAGCTTACAATCTAGAAGGGACGGGATAGTGGTACAGGAGGAGATAGCTGTGGGGGATGGAGTGGTAGGAAGAGTGGAGGAGGTCAGTCAAGTTAGCAGGGGGTAGGCTTCCCTGAAGAGATGGGTTTTCATTTTCCTAAAGGACAGGAGAGTAGGTGATAATCTGATGGGTTGGGGAAGGGAGTTCCAGAGGATGGGTGACACCCTGGAGAAGTCCTGGAGGCGGGCATGGGAGGAGGACACCAGGGAACTAGAGAGAAGGAGGTCTTGTGAGGAGCGGAGTGTGCGTGCTGGGCGGTACTTGGATATTAGGTCGGTGATGTAGTTCGGGGCAGTATGGTGGACAGCTTTGTACGTCAGTGTTAGGATTTTAAATTTTATCCGTTGCGCAATCGGAAGCCAGTGGAGGGATTGGCAGAGGGGGGTGGCGGAAACGGAGCGGTTGGAAAGGTGAATGAGTCTGGCAGCCGTATTCAGGATCGACTGAAGCGGGGATAGCCAGCGGCAAGGCAGGCCACTGAGGAGGGAATTGCAGTAGTCGAGTCGTGATATGATGAGGGAGTGGATGAGCTGTTTAGTGGTTTCTGGGGTTAGGAACGCGCGTATTTTGGCGATGTTGCGGAGGTGGAGTCTGCACGAGTTTGTTAAAGATTGGACTTGGGGCTGGAAGGATAGGTTGGAGTCCAGAATGACACCAAGTACTCTGGCCTGCAGGGCGGGTTTGATTTTGGCGTTGTTGGATGTGATGGAGAAGTCAATGGGGGGTGGGGTTCGGGCTGGGGGGAAGACAAGAAACTCGGTTTTGGAGAGATTCAGTTTAAGGAAGTGGAGCGACATCCAATCTGATAAGTCGCTCAGTAGGTGTGTGATTCGGGCAGAGACCTATACAGGAGAAAGGCATGCGCTGACAGTCCCAGCTGTGGCTTATCTTGAGGGAATCACTGGTGATTGGGCAAGATTTCTGTGTCCTTTGAGAATTGTCATTCTGGATTGTTGGGAGGTGAATCAAGGACCTGAAATAGTCACTCACTATAGTAAAAAATGGCAGGATTGGAAGACTACCATATGCCTACAGGCATCTTTACACTAGATCTGCAAGTATGAATCATATTACTCTATAACACCAATTACTTGGCCATCTTGGAGTCGTGTAATCATCATTATTGGTTATTTTGTAACGCGCAATGGAGTTGATTTACTAAAACTGGAGAATGGAAAATCTGGTGCAGCTCTGCATAGAAACCAATTAGCTTCCAGGTTTTTTTAAGCATTAATTGAACAAGCTGAAGTTAGAAGCTGATTGGCTACCATGCACAGCTGCACCAGATTTTGCACTTTCCAGTTTTAATAAATCCACCCCAATGTGTCATCAATGCAATTCTTACAAAAGATGACTATGCTCCATAGAAAAGCTAAATAAAGAATAACACATATTACACTCAATTTTTTTTTTTGTTTTGGATTGAGTGGAGAGGCATTGGAACACTTGTCAGATTTTATTGCTAAAGAACAACACAAATTACACTCTATAACATTTAAAGTATTACTAAAGGCATTAATTAAACAAGCTGAAGTTAGAAGCTGATTGGCTACCATGCACAGCTGCACCAGATTTTGCACTTTCCAGTTTTAATAAATCCACCCCAATGTGTCATCAATGCATTTCTTACAAAAGATGACTATTCCCCATAGAAAAGCTAAATAAAGAATAACACAAATTACACTCTATTTTTTTTTTTGTTTTGGATTGAGTGGAGAGGCATTGGAACACTTGTCAGATTTTATTGCTGAAGAATAACACAAATTACACTCTATAACATTTAAAGTATTACTAAAGGCAAATTTTTTTTTTTGTTTTGGATTGATTGGAGAGGCATTGGAACACTTGTCAGATTTTTATTGCTTCCCCTTTAGGGAGATATACCCTCTCTATTTGTCCTGTTTACCATTATCATAGAAAGTGAAAGTAAAACCAATTCCACATTTTGTGTTGTCCCCAGTATATTTGATAGCATGCCCTGTAACAGAATACTGCAAATCTTTTGTGTGGCTGATTGACAATGCCATATTTGTTAGGACTGCTTTGCATGCTTAGTGCATTGATTTGCTTTGATCAGATTTAATAAATGGACGCTGAGTGCAAGGACACAGCAAATACTATACAATACAAATACAATACAAGACACGTCAGTGCATAGCAACCTGCTGTTGTATGTAGAGTTAAAGAAAGCTTAAGAAAAGAAAGAAAAAGGCAAGCACTGTAACAACGCATCAGAATGCATGCACAAAGCACACCAGTGTGTGTTATATACATACCATAACGTGTGTCCGCTGGTGTAAGTGAGTCCTTAATTAGCAGAATATTAGCACAATATGTTCCTTCATTAGTTAACTGTTGGTAATTGGATTACCAAAATAAAATTATGCTAAGCAGATAGATATATTTTTTGTATTTAAGTATGTAAATACAACATTCTAACAACCAGTGATGTATTTCTGCCCAGCCTGTTCAGATAAAATGTAAACAAAACAAAGAGAATCATACCACCATACCAAACCACGTGTCCTCGATATGGGAAGCAATAGGAAGAAGGGTCAGCCGCACACCGGAGGATAGATGAATATAGTGTGTATTTATTGATCCATAGGACACACAAAACACCAGGACATGAATACAGGACCTGTTAACGCGTTTCACATGATCACTTGCTTAATCATATATGATTAAGCACGAGATCATCTTCCGATGTGCGGCTGACCCTTCTTCCTATTGCGTCGTGTGTGGTGGCGAGCCAGAGCCTGCACCTGTTGTGATCTGGATTGTTTGCCTGAGAGGATACCGAGG